CGGTGAGGACATAGCCGAGAGCGATTCCGCTTCCATTAATCCAGATACATTGGTGGACTTTTTTGAAAAATTGATAGAGTGGACGGATGCGGGACATTGGTGCCTAAGTTGCGGACGGATGTGGGACGTTGGTGCTTAAGTTGCGGACGGATGCGGCACGTTGGTGCCTAAGTTGCAGACGGATGCGGCACGATGGTGCCTAAGTTGCGGACGGATGCGGCACGATGGTGCCTAAGTTGCGGACGGATGCGGCACGATGGTGCCTAAGTTGCGGACGGATGCGGGACATTGATGCCTAAGTTTCGGACGGATGCGGCACGTTTGTGCCTAAGTTGCAGACGAATGCGGCACGGTGGTGCCTAAGTTGCGGACGGATGCGGCACGATGGTGCCTAAGTTGCGGACGGATGCGGGACATTGGTGCCTAAGTTGCGAACGGATGCGGGACATTGGTGCCTAAGTTCCGGACGGATGCGGCACGTTGGTGCCTAAGTTCCAGACGGATGCGGCACGATGGTGCCTATGTTGCGGACGGATGTGGCACGATGATGCCTAAGTTGCGGACGGATGCGGCACGTTGGTGCCTAAGTTCCAGACAGATGCGGCACGATGGTGCCTATGTTGCGGATGGATGCAGCATGATGATACCTAAGTTGCGAACGAATGCGGCACGTATGTGCCTAAGTTCCAGACGGATGCAGCACGATGGTGCCTATGTTGCGGATGGATGCGGCACGATGATGCCTAAGTTGCGGACGGATGCGGCACGTTGGTGTAAGTTGGACTAAAAATAGAAAAAGTCATGAGAAGGACTAAAAGTGTCCAAAAAATAATAATCTAGGGATGTTAAATGAAGAAAATGATAGTCTGAAACTAAATTTGAAATCGCCACTAAAGACAACGGACCTCAGGTGGAATTAACTCTAATTTTATCTTTAAAAATCTGGTAGGTCTAGATTAGATTTGTCAAAACAAGCCCAACTCGTCGAGTTGGGCTAATTTGCCCGCTTTTAAGTGGGTTGGGCTGGTAACTTTCTAGTTTAGCTAGCCTATATTAGGCCCAGCTCGTATAACCCGCCGATAACTTATTTAGCTTGAATTAATACTCATGCGCATATTGTATGATTATATATTTATATAAATCACTTTCAAACTTTATATGATTTTATAATTACATATGTTTTGTTTCATATATTTTTATGATTCATAATCATGTATGTAAGTGATTTATTTGTGGACACTTAATGAACTAACATTATATATATATATATATATATATATATATATATATATATATATATATATATATATATTATATCGAAATGGTCCATTGACTATAGTAAAATTATCAATTTGATCTTTGATTATTTGTTGTGACTAATTAAGTTTCTCAATTTTAAAAATCTTAATTAATTTGATCCTTTGTTTGGTTTGTCGTTAGACATCCGTTAATTCTGAACTAAATTGATAATTTCGATATAGTCAAAGAACCATTTTGATAAATAATTTTTCAGAGGAAATGATGCATGTGATGACCGAAATATCACACTATTCAGTTGGTAAATTATGAAAAAAAATAACACATTATTGAGTTATGTCAATAATAATATCTGAGTTACACTAAAAGGATTTCATTTAGTAAGAAATTCCCAAAGTCAGGGGAATGCAAATTTCTGCTTTGTTATTCCCATCATTCGGTAATTACGGGATGATCCACCGTGGAAGAGTTTAAAATGAGTAATGTTGACCATCAAATCGCACCATCTCTGTAATAGGTAAATGCCTCTTTTTCTCCTAAAGTTGTCTAAATTATTCATAATAAGCTAAAGATTCTAAAAAAAGTTGTGCGGAGAACTAGTAAGAATTGTGCCTACCATCCAATTCGTGCGAGTGGGACTGGCTGGATCAACTTGTGATCCATACTGAAACAGAAAAATAGAGTTTTCTCTTCATTTCGGGTTGAGCATTTTGTACCGATGAGGATGCCTGAGAATTGATAAAGGGAATAGAGATGATGATAGAGATTGATGTGAGTGGTTCAAATTGGTTGAATCTGTTTCAATCATCGCGGCCGAAACAAGCGGATGTGTTTGATAGTTAACTATGTTGATATAGCTTAGATAGGGAGGATTCTCTATAAACACTAGGCATTTATCATTTTACCTAAGAGCATCCTTATCAGTAGGAATATTAGAAGGGAGAATGTAAGAGTGATTAGGAAAGAGAACGTGGGAGGGGAGAGAAAAAAAAAAAGTAAAAACTGATTTTAAAATAATATATATGTATATATATATATATATATAGAGAGAGAGAGAGAGAGTTACACTCGAGTGCGAACGGCTCGCCCAGGCGCGAAATAGGAATGGATTCTGTTCGTCCACGTGTCCAGATCTAATGGATGAGAAACATTGATTTTTTTAAAAAACGCGATGGCATTTTCGTAAATAATTGAACATCGAAGTGCAAGTAAAATGTATTACAAGTGCATGTAAAATGTATTATAGGTGCAAGTAAAAATTTACACTGAGCATCAATACTTAGTTGCACTTATAGTTCTAAGTAGTTGCACCTATAGTTCTAAGTAGTTGCACCTATAGTTCTAAGTAGTTGCATCTAGGTGTATGAATATTTGCGAGTGGTTTTCAGGAGTATTACTACCCGCTGAACTCAGATCAATGAATGTTAACAAGGCAAAATTACATGCACTTATAGGTGAAAGTAGTTGCACCTATAGTTATAAGTAGTTGCACCTATAGTTATAAATAATTGCACATATAGTTATAAGCACACCCAGGTGCATGAATGGTTGCGGAAAGTGAATGCTAACAAGGCAAAATTACATGCACTTATAGGTGAAAATAGGTGCACTTATTTTACTTGCACTTCGATGTTCAATTATTTACGAAAATGCCACCGCATTTTTTTTTAAGTTATTAGATCTGGACACGTGTCACGCGCTGATTCGTTCGCATTTCCTTCCTGGGCACTTATTCGCACCTGAGTGCGTCCCTATATATATATATATATATATATATATATATATATATAATTAAAGTAAGTCATGATGGGTTGTTTATCCTACTGTCCTACAATGTTCTCATTCTCCCCATTCTTATTTATGCTTTCCAAATTTCTCTCTTCATTCTTTATCATTCATGTCAACATTAAATATATTAAGGGGGCGTTTGGTTCACGGAATCTTGGATTACCCCAAGTAATAGGATTACCTTCAGGAAGGTAATATGAGATTATCAGAATGTAAGATTACCATTATGTGTTTGGTTTAGATTGTAGAATATAATATTACCTTGTTTGGTTAAGGGTTATATTTTAGGCTATATGGATCAATTTACAATAATATCCTCAATATTTTTCAATAATATCCTCAATAATATATATATATATATATATATATATATATATATATATATATATATATATATATATATATATATATATATATATATATATATATATATATATATATATAATTAAGTTCTGGTGCACTCCACTCTTAAAGTGTGAACTGTGTGCACTTCTCATAGCCGTTCATCTTAGAAGATCAACGGCCGGGGTGAGGGTACGTGGGGCTAGTGTGCATCGCAGTGTTGGGTAGTGCATCTTCACTGTGCACAATTGTAGGGCCCCTTTTAGAACAAGTCTAATTCTAATTCGGTAGTGGAGACACAAGGGCTTCAGAATTCAAATTGGGAGTTATATATATTATGTGTGTGTATTTATTTTATTTATTTATATGTATGAATGTATATCAACGTTGAAATATTAGAAAACTAAAGATATAAATATACACATGTATATTTTATCGTAGGGAAAATTTTAATTTATGCCCTTCCATAATATGTCAATTATCAATATCACTCTTGAATTATTAGTGGTGTAAATGTTGCTCCTCAATTTTCAAAACGGTATATATAATGTCATCCCATAGTGTAAATGTTGCACCTCATTTTTCAAAACAATACATATATTGCCACTACCGTAGGGTACGAGAGGGGCAATATATGTACCGTTTTAAAAATTGATGGACAACATTTACACCATTAATAATTCAGGGGTGACATTAATAATTGACATATTATGGATCGGAGGGACATAAATTACAATTTTCCCTTTATTGTATAAAGATATTATTATTAGTATTATTATTATTATTATTATTATTATTATTATTATAATAATAATAATAATAATAATAATAATAATAATAATAATTAGTTAACAAGGATAAAGTTGAAATAATTCAGGGGGCGTTTGGTTCAGGTTATATAACATAACTCAGGGAATGTGACATTCCAAAGCTCACATTCCGGTGTTTGGTTCATATTATGATAGGGAATCTAACATTCCCAAGGAATGTCACATTCCCTCCACATAGGATTTTGAAGGGAATGTGATTCCCTTCAAAATCTTAGGTAATGTAAGATAACCTTGGTTATGTTAGTTTATTATATATATATATATATATATATATATATATATATATATATATATATATAATTATTTTTGTAATTATATATATTTTTTATTTTTATTATGTTATGCTAGCATATAAAATAATTTTGTTTCTCAAGTTCAAGATTTTAGTTAATATTTTAAAATCATGTAATTATATATGATACCGTTATCTTATTTATTTATTTTAATTTTTAAATATATTAAAATATATGAAAATATGTTAAGGATATTATAGTGTGTATAAAAGATAACCCTAAACCAAACAGGATTATATTACATACCCCAATTTTAACCAAACACAGGAATCTAACATTCCCAGCAATCTAACATTCCCTAAGGTAATCTGACATTCCGTGAACCAAACGACCCCTCAAGGTAATCTGAGATTACTTAAGAAATGGGTAATCACATTATCTTCAAATATTACTGCCACATCAGCTTTCAGATAATATAACATTATCAGGTAATCTTATAACTTGAACCAAACAAGGTAATATAACATTACCAGACTCATTACCTAAATAATCAAAGATGATCTGAACCAAACGTGCCTTAAAAGTAATCCATTTTCCCCACTTGCTTCTCTAGTGTGGATGCTCTAAGAGACCAATGAATCACCGCAATTTATAGCACGCAAGACAATTTAATTATTACTACGTATTTGTTATGCCTTGACTGCCGAAATCAACCGCAGCTTCTGCCGCTTCACTCAAAGCGTCGGACACCCACACAGCACCCTTTAAGATACTGGCCGATAATTGATGCGATTGGTCGAAAGCTGTAGCTCTTTCCAAAGCATCTTTTCCTAGTACATATCCTTTCGACAACATTGTTTTAACCACGTCTTGAGCCACGCTAATTACTTCCTCAGCAGAGGGAACATATCCATATCCATGTTGCTCACAAACTTCTGACGAGTCTTCCTAAGATCAGATATACAACGTTAGATACATATATATAGATCGATGCAGCAATATAATTTAACTAGCCAATAGCAGGAAATTAATTAAACTCGATCATCGTAGGTAATTCATTTAAGCTAGCAAGTAAAGCATACATACATATATACATTATTGTAGGAGGAAATTAAAGAATGAAACATACATACATACATACAATTGATGAAGAATGATCTTCAGGCTTCCAGGAAAAGTGGTTCCAGTTATCATCGTCTTTGTAGTGTTCCCAACGGGCTATGCATACAGGTTGATCCACAATTATGGCGCCCTGCCCGCCCCGCACCGCAGTATCAATATAATATAATGTTCAGATTTAGTCCATAAAACGTATCTCACCAAACAAAAAGCTAGCTAGGCATGAGAACTAGCAATTAAGGGAACTGGAATTGAAATATATATATATATATATATATATATATATATATATATATATATATATATATATATATATATATATAGCACTTACATTAAGCAATACAGCGATTTCCAATGCATGTGAAGATTTAAAGGTCACATAGGCTGTACTTGCAACTTCACTAGCTCTGTGTGTATTTTTTTTTTACAAAATTAAAACAAAAATTATTTGAACATTAATTAACACCTGACTATCCTACAAGGAATTGAATTGGAAGGAATTAATTTAATTAATAGAAGAAGTAGTACTTACCTGAGAATGTGGATATGATGAATGTTCCCACAGAGAGCAAAAAAATGATGAAGATCCTTCTCAGTAGCAATAGGGGAGAGATTTGTAACTTCAGCAGTAGTAGTGTCACCACCTGGATTATTCATGCTATGTTTATTGCCTGCATGCCACGTACACATCAATAGATAACAAAAGATAATTCCTAGCTAGCCAGCTATGAGAATATAATTATATTATTGATGACTACGTTAAAAAAAATTCACAAATTAAATATTTCTAAAACATTAATTCAGGCTATGAATTGCAAAAGCTAGGTAGCTAGCTATATAGAGAGAGAGAGAGAGAGATCTATGGAGGAGAGTCATGGATTTCATTCCGAAATTGAAGTGTTACTATACGAATGGAACGTTAATTAGTTGTTGGTTATATAGGAAGGAATGGAAGTTGGTTACCTGGATATGATGACTTGACTTGGGTACAACGTAAGTGGTACAAGAATTTAGAAGGGTGTAGGTGTACTTGAAGTAGAAATTTGTAGGAAGAGAGTGGAACTTTTTGTTAGTTGATACGATCGAGATCGAGGAGGTTTGGGGAAGGCCCAGTAGCTTCTGCTACTCATTACTCAAACACAGAATTGGCGGTGGCGGCCAATGTTTAAGAATAGGCAAAACATTTTGTGTGTGACTGTCTTATGAATTCACCAATCTTTTATTGTATGGGTCAATACGTGCATATCATGTGCATCTTTTATGTTTCTCTCTTTTTATGTTTCTCATCTTTAATTTCATATCTCATTCGACGCTGCTGTTTTTTTTTTTCTTTTTTTGTGTAAATCACGAGGTGGTCCGGGTCTTCCTCTGTCTGTTTAACGATTCAAGTCCACCTGACTAATTTTCGTTCGCTCCCGGAAGCACGGGAGCTGGCCCAAAGAGAACATCACTTGTGGAAATCGAACCTGAATTATCCCAAAATTCTTCCCCACAAAAAAAATTCATTGCTCATTTGCCACTTGATCTACCCTATTGAGTTTCGACGCTGCTCTCTGCATCTCGCCACTCACCAACTTTGTCTCCGCGGCCTCCCATCTCATCCGCTCTAGCTCTCCACCTCCTCCCATCTCCTCCGCCTCCATTCGAGTTTGTGTCCACTTAGTGATACTCTTGTTCTTCACCTGAATGTTAACATCACCTTGAAACATATCTCCTTTCTTTATTCCCAATGAGGTAATAGCCTGTTTAAACAAAAATGATGAAAGAGAGAACCCGCAAATACATTAGCAAATATAAATGACTGCAGGCAATCTAAAATAGCAATCCCAACTTCAAATATTTAGGAGCAATCACTGACAATCTCAGCAATTGATTTTGCAGTTGAAGAACAATAATGCCACGCATATGACAGTAGGGCTTTATCTACCTATGAATCACTGATCAATCACATTTCAGCCTTGAGAAGATGTACATATTTGATCAAAACAAGCAGAATCACTAAACCACTATAATCACCATCCACCTCATAAGACTACAAGAGTGCTCTTCAAGCATGTCAATATACTTTAATGAAGCAAATGGTCTCATGCTGCATGGAGTAGAGAATGATTCACAATTAAACTCTCAATAATTTGAGTCAGACAAATAAACTTCATAAACTCAGTAGTTAATATTATCTATTCAACTAGACAAAAAACAACAACCATTCCTATGTACTTAAAAACTAACATTAATATTTACTGCACATATTCAACTAAAATGAAAAACTCACAACTTCAGTGGGAGAATACGTAGTAAATCAATACTTTATAGCCAAAAATTAGTACTTTATAACACAAATGAATACTCAACACTTTAACCATTAAATATAATACTTTATAGTGAAAATATTCTACTTCATATCACAAATGAATAATCATGACTTTAATCATCAAACACAATACTTTATAATGCAAATATACTACTTCATATCACAAATGAATAATCAACACTTTAACCATCAAATACAATATTTAATAGCACAAATATACTACTTCATATCACAAATATATAATCAGCACTTTAACAATTAAATCTAATACTTTATAGTGCAAATATACTACTTCATATCACAAACAATTAAATCTAATACTTTATAGTGCAAATATACTACTTCATATCACAAATGAATATTCAACACTTTAACCATCAAACACAATACTTAATAGCACAAGTATACTACTTCATAGCACAAATATATAACCAACACTTTAACCATTAATTCTAATACTTTAAAATCAACACTTTAACCAAATCTAATACTACTCAGTCTGCAGGTTGATATACCTGTGTACAACCGTATGTGATTTAACAAAAATTGCAGAGTTATCGGCGGCGATTAATGAAGAGTATTAGGCAGAGTTCCTGCAAACACAAAACTCCTTGTTATAATGGCGAACATCACAAGAAATTAAACGAAAGAAGCGAAGACTTACTACAAACGCAAAACTCCTTGTTATAATGGCGATTGTCGCGAGAAACGGAAGAATCAGAGAGTAATAGCGAAACCCGATCATATTTTACACATTAAAAGTATCAGAAACTAAAAATCACCTGAGAATTGAATGAGAAGAAAATGCACTTTTGTGAAGAGAAAATTTGAAAATTAGATGAAAAATTGAGGGGAACTGCGCTGCTCGAACCGTTTCTCCGTGAAGAACTCAGGAAAAGCGAAAAAATGGAGCGAACAAACGATAAAAATGAATTAATACAGACCTTATGCCATGGAACCGTGTTCACCATTCGTGGTGAACACGGTTCCAACGGTGTTAGTGCACCGTTATCTTTTTTTTTTTTTTTTTTTTTTTTTTTTAATTAATTACGTGAGTACCTACACATTCACTTTGGAACCATGCCTACACATTCACTTTGGAACCATGAGATTATGAATTTTCTGTTATGAGATTATGAATTTTCAGTTATGAGATTATGAATTTTCTGTTATGCGATTATAAATTTTCTGTTATGAGATTATGAATTTTCATTACATTCATAATTTCGGAGTTTCGGACATTCATAAATTATGAATTCATGCATGCACATTCACTTTGGAACCATGCCTACATATTCCCATCCGAAATCACGGACATTCATAAATTATGAATCTATGCCTGCACATTCACTTTGGAACCATGCCTAAAAATTCACTTTGGAACCATGAGATTATGAATTTTCTGTTATAAGATTATGAATTTTCTGTTATGAGATTATGAATTTTCTGTTGTGAGATTATGAATTTTCTGTTATGCGATTATGAATTTTCTGTTATGCGATTATGAATTTTCTGTTATGCGATTATGAATTTTCATAAAATTCATAATCTCATAACAGAAAATTCATAATTTGATCAGTAACGCGCCGTTAACTCCACATCCGCGATTTTTTTTTTTTGGCCTAAAAATGACGTCGTTTTGACTTGTGTTCACCATTCTCGGTGAACACGATTCCACAGCATAATTTGCGGAATTAATAAAGCTGGGCTAAATAAAGCCCATATCTCATTGTTGAAAAAAAAAAAAAAGGCCCAAACAGGCCAACTCCAATAGTTATCGCAAATTATGCAGTGGACATTGTGGACACGAGTCTAAAACGACGTCGTTTTCAGGGAAAACGCGTCATTTCAGTTTTAAAAAAAAAATGATTTTGTCTCACATCGTTTGTGCCATTATGAATGTACAGTTATGAGATTATGAATGTACAGTTATGAAATTATGAATGTAAGTTATAAAATTATGAACACAGAGCTCTGACATTATGAACTTACAATTATGAACATATAGTGATAAAATTATGAACATAGAGCTCTAAAATTGTGAACATCGAGCTTTGAAAATTATGATTTTACAGTTATTGCATTATGAATGTACAATTACGGAATTATGAATGTACAGTTATACAATTATGAATGTACAGTTATGCAATTATGAATGTACATTTATGAAATTATGAACACAGAGCTCTGACATTATGAACTTACAATATGAACATATAGTGATAAAATTATGAACATAGAGCTCTAAAATTGCGAACATAGAGCTTTCGAAAATTATGAAGTTACAGTTATTGAATTATGAATGTACAGTTACGGAATTATGAATGTACAGTTATGGAAGTATGAATATACATTTAAGGAATTATGAACATAGAACTCTGAAATTACGAACTTACAATTATGAACATATAGTAATAAAATTATGAACATATACTCCTATAACGAAGCGGTCTGAATTTAAAATAAAAAAAATTAAAAAAAAAAAGAAGAAGAAGAAGAAGACAACAGTGCCTAACGGCACTGTTACCCGTGTCCAGCATGCATGCTGGACACGGGTCTATAGCATAACGATTGAATAGTTATGCTATGCAACCGTGTGCACCACGCATGGTGCACACGGTTGCAAAACGACGTCGTTTTGACTAAAAGCGCGCGTCTCATTTAAAAAAAAAAATCAATTTCGATTCCCCTCAACAACATTATTGTGGATATATAGTTATGAATTTGTGGATATATAGTTATGAATTTATGGATATTTAGTTCATTCATTGTGGATTTTGTGTTATTCATTCACTGTGGATATATAGTTATGAATTTGTGGATATATAATTCAAATTATACAAAAAAAAAAAAATGCTATTGCTTGAAATCGAACCTGATTTTTTTTAAGTAGGACGCGCATTTTTAGTCAAAACGACGTTGTTTTTGCAACTGTATGGTACACACAGTTGCACATCATAATTTGCGGGCCAACTCACAGTTGTTATACTGTGCACCCCGGTGCGTCAAAACAGCGCCATTTCTTTAAGTAAAGAAAAGACGCGCTGTTATTGTTAACGGAGCGCGCATGCATTTTTTGGTGTGTTAATTACCAACTGAAACTACAGTGTATCTAACCTGACACTACAGTGTATCGAAACCGACACTGTCTCACGTATTATTTTATATATTATCAAATGAAATTACAGTTATATCAAAATGGTACTATAGTTGTGGTGAAATGAAACTGCAGTGTATATAGAATGAAATTGAATAACATTTCACATATTTGAGTGTATATTGTGCAATGAAGTTGTAGTTATATCGAAATGATCATGTAACTGTGTTTTAATAAAACTATAGTGTATATAAAATAAAATTAAATAACATTTTCACATATTTGAGTGTATAAATATCGAATGAAACCGTAGTTATATCGAATTGAAACTGTAGTTGTGTTGAACTGAAACTGTTGTGTATACAAAATGAAACTGAATAACAGAGATACTTTTTGTGGAATGGTGCGAAACGGGTGCCATTTCTTTTCATTAAACAAAACGACGTCGTTTTGAAGCTCGGTGCATAATTGATTATGCACCTCGGTGCACGATATAATTTGCCGGCTAACTCATAATACTATATGTGCCGTTTATTTTCATTAAACAAAACAACGTCGTTTTGAAGCTCGGTGCATAATCAATTATGCACCGCGATGCACGATATAATTTGCCGACTAACTCATAATACTATAGGTGCCGTTTCTTTTCATTATACAAAACGACATCATTTTGAAGCTCGGTGCACGATATAATTTGCCGACTAACTAATAATACTATAGGTGTGTGCCGTTTCTTTTCATTAAACAAAACGACATCATTTTGAAGCTCGGTGCACTATATAATTTGCCGGCCAACTCATATCAGCAATCATTATTGCATGGACCATAAATAAAAAGTACATTTTTAATATACTAAGGGTACATTATTTATGTACGTAAGATACATTTTTGGAAGTACATTTTTAATATACTAAGGGTACATTATTTTATATAATGTACCTTCAGTGCAAAAGTAATGTACCATCAATACAAAAATAATGTACTTTTAATATATTAAAATGTACCTAATATTCATGGTCCACACAATAATTTGCCTAATATTAGGGGAGCGTTATGCTGTGGAATCGTGCTCACCTTGCAAGGTGGGCACGGGGTAGATTCATAATTTCTATACTGTAGATTCATAATTTTTAAACTGTAGATTCATAATTTCTATACCGTAGATTCATAATTTCTATACCGTAGATTCATAATATAGTTATGTGATTTGTGAATACAGAGTTCAACAATTAGGAATATGAACATAAAAAATTATGAACATATAGCTCTATAATTATGAACATATATTTATAAAATTTTGAACATATAGCTTTATCACATGTTCACAAACCTAATACCGTAGATTCATAATTTATATACTATAGATTCATAATTTCTATACTATAGATTCATAATTTCTGTACTGTTGATTCATAGTATCTGTATTGCGAAGACGAAATAATGTGATTGCGAAGAGAGAAACGCCATTAACAAGTGAAAAACAATTAAAAAAAAAATTAAAACGGCATCGTTTTCGTTGAAAACGATGCCGTTGTGGAATTGTGTCAACCTTGCAAGGTGGGCACGATTCCACAGCGTAATTTGCCTAATACTAGGCAACCCATAAATTAAATATGACCCAAATTGTGTTAACCCGACCTGTTTCACGAATTGAGATCCGTGTGACGGTCTCACATAAGTGTGTCTCTGAGGTAACACTTGTGTGAGACTATCTCATAGGTCTCAATCTGTGAGAAGATGGGTTGGATATTTGATTACTGAATTGAAATTTTTAACCTTAGTAATCAAATATTTGACTCGTGATTAAGACTCATAAAACGGTCTCACACAAATTTTATTTTATTTTAATTGTGCAAGATGAATTAACTCAGCGAATTAAACCTATTTTGACAACTCTAAGCCTCTGGAATGCAACCATAAATCCATAATACGGAGTACAATTTTCGGTTTGTCGTACCAAACGGCAGTTTATTCCCCTAAATCTCTTCCCGTTGATTGATTGCATAGTGCCAACGTGGCAGAATCTTAAAGGTTTCCAGGAAAACGTATACACACGATATTACACTGCCCCCTCCCCCCTAAACCCTGAAAACCCCTTTTCTGTTCTTCTCCTTTCAAGTCTGCAGTGTGCAGTGCAAACTAACCCTCGCCTTCTCGCTTACATGTTTGCAGATTCAGATTGAGTTTTGCAATGAGAGCCTTCAAAGCCCTGAGAGTATTGAGCGTATCAGCATCAACCCAACCCCACGTACCCCGTTTCAATTTATCCGTTTTCTATCGATTTTACTCTGCCCAACCTCAACAAGCCGACCACTCCTCAGCCTCCGCGCTCCCTTCTTCATCGTCTTCCAAAGAAGAAGATTTTTCATCTCCAGATGTTTTCGACAGCTCGGAATACGCATTAGCTTCGGATCTAACAGGTAATTCAGAGACCAATACCAGCGGTCTGCCCACTTGGGATGACAAGTACAGGGATGAAGTTAGGAGGAGGGTGTTTGGGGAAGATATTCCCCAGGCCAGTAGCTCGAGAGTTTTCGTGAAGGAAGAGGAGAAAAGGAGGAGAGCTGCTGCCCTCGCCAAGAGCCTTCTTGAGGTTGCTATTGGGAGGAGTGAGAATGAAGGTCTGGTGCAGAAGGATGGGAAGTTGGTGAAGGAGGAGGATCAGAAATCTCTGTCTATTGGGATTATCGGAGCTCCGAATGCTGGAAAATCTTCTCTCACCAATTCCATGGTGAGCCTTCCCCTTCTAATTCAGACTAGCTTTCTTTTCTTGCAGGAATACCAACTTCTTAATGAATTATATTTCACAAAGTAGGTGCTTTTTCTTTGATCAACCTAACAAATTATATGGGCTATATATGTATTACTGGAGCAGGGCTAAAAAAACAATTTTTTTTTTTCACATATATGTTGAAGATTGCAATAAAACCAGTTATTAATTGCTTAGAATTGTCATTGTTCATTTCCCTGACTATGATTGGAATCACGTGTTCACTTTCTTTTTTGCTCTGGTTTGGGTGTGAAGGTGTTGCAATAGTGCTACTGAGTGTGAATGTATGATTCTATATTATGAAGACACTTTCTTCCCTCATCTATGTTATTTATCAAAATGGTAGGATGGTTTTTTAAGGACACCTCTAAGTATTGCCTGTGACTTTGTGAGATATGGTGGGCATAGTATAGAACCATGGAATGTCTCATTTAGAATTTAGAAACAGACACAAGAGTAAAGTAGTGGCTTCCTAAAATTCTGTTCTTTGAACATTAAATCTGCATGATTTGCAGTAAATAGATTATTGTACTTCCAGTCTACAAAGATAAAAATCTTGTTAGTAGATTGAGGTTTTAGCCAACCATTTATGATATTTTTTTGTCATTCTAAATCTCCTTGGGGATGGAGAAAGTCATCTCTTTTGGTGGCCTTGTGGGTACTTTGTCTTGATTCTGATGCCACAATCAGCACACCGCCAATTTATTAACGAGCTATGATATGACTTAGAAGACTTCTGCTAGGTCATTTTGCAATTATTTTATTTTTATTTTATTCTGGAAGATGCCTAAGATACAATCATCAATCTGCTTACATGATTTTCATGTATGTTTTTCTTCAGGCATTGTTGTGTGCCCTGTACATTATAACTGTTTTCAGGATTTATGTTTTATTAACCATGATAGTAAACAATTGGTCCTTTTGTTTAACTATATATTCTTCTGAGTTGGTTGTCCTCACTATTCTCTGTGTAGGTTGGGACCAAAGTTGCTGCTGTCTCACGCAAGATGAATACTACGACAGATGAAGTGTTAGGAGTGCTGACTAAAGGAAACACACAAATTGTAAGTCTGTTCTTTGATCTCTACTCTAATGCATTGCAACCTTATAGATGCATCAGCTAACAAAACTGAACTGGTGATAGTCCTTAACACATTACTCACCTTATCAACTCCCCCACTCAGAAGAAAAGGCAAGGAAAAAAATTGTGGCATGTTTGATAAGTGAGTAATGAGAGAATGTTTTTTTTTTTTTTTTTTGTTTTTTGTTTTTTTTGGTGCTCGTGTCTGTGAGGCAAACAAGTGCAAAGGTACAGGTAAAGGATAGTCACCATTAAGAACGAAGAGAAAGCTTCATATGGTCTATTTCTGTAATTCTGTTTAGAATTTGCTTTTATATGTTATTTATTCAAATGTAAAAACTGAAAGCAATGAAATAGAATATTTTCTAGCTATATTTGCATACATGAATATTCAGATTGTTCTCATTTTGAGTCAAACTTTGACTAATTGATTATGCAGTGTTTCTTTGATACTCCAGGATTGATGTTAAAGAAAAACGGCTTCCCCTATAGAGACATGAAAGTGCGTGTTCAGAGTGCATGGAGTTCTGTTAGTCTTTATGATGTACTCCTTGTCATATTTGATGTTCATAGACACCTTACCAAGTTAGTTTTCTCTTGACTTGACCTTGAAAATGCTTCATCTATATTTTCTTTACTTTTCATTTAATTGATAAACATGAGACTTAGCCTACTCACAGTATGCAAGCCTCAGCAAATATTTTATTTTGGTTATTTTTGACAATTTATGGGCTACTAATTGTATTTTGGCATGATATTTTTACTACTTAAGTTATTGGTAATAGACTCATAGTGGTTATTAGGCTGTATCCTTGAAGGACCAACTGACCAACCATTTCAATATGACATTGCACTCTTATTTTATTTTATTTTTTAAATTGCCAAGTGGCTTGCAAGGTTGCATGTGTGACTTTCATTCTGCTAAATGTGGGAGTGGGCCCAAACAAATTTTTTAAAAATAAAGTAATTATTATTATATTTTATTTTAGGAATGAGTTGGAATTGTAGAGATGTAGAGAAAATAGTGAGTGAATTGCAAATATGATGATATGGTAGTAGAGTCTATTTTTGAAAGTGAGAGAGTATTGCATGGATAAACAAAGCCTTAGTTTCCATATTCCCAAGGAACTGACTTTGTTGGCGAGGCATGTGCTTAATTGCTATTTGGTTAGAAATATAGAATGTTTATTCCTTCCATTTCTTCTTTTAGGGCGTTTCTTTGTTTCTTGGTATTGGGTAAGGGTGACCATGAAGCAAACATTTGTGGCTTCCAAGTTTCAGTTTATCTCTTGCTTCTTCACATCCTTCTGTAATTGAGTTAAAAAAAAAAAAAAACCCATAGGAATGCAAATCTAGAAAAAATAAAGGTTTATAATATCTAAAATAAAACAAGTTTCAATACAGTGAATACACTATTGGATGTCTAATGTGGAAACCTTTCTATCCCTGGAGAACAATTAGCTGATCTTTGAATTTCCATTAATAATTTATACAGCCCTGATTCAAGAGTAGTGAAATTGATTGAACGGATGGGTTCTGAAGTTGACAAAAACCAGAAACGTGTCTTGTGTATGAATAAAGTTGACTTGGTTAAGAAAAAAAAAGATTTATTGAAGGTTACCGAGGAATTCAAACATCTTCATGGATATGACAGGTAAGTTTCACCTTTTGTACTTTTGATTGAAAATGCTTATAATTATGTCTAATCTTTTAAAAATTCCTTTGATAGGCATTTTATGATATCCGGGCTAAAGGGAGCAGGGGTGAAAGATTTAACACAATACTTGATGGAACAGGCATGTGCCCTCTAACTTCTTCTAATTTTGTTGTGATTTATCCATATGAAGGCTTATTTCAATTGTTGTCTTTTTATTCTTTGATTTATCAGGGATACACCATCTAATTTGTTCTGATTTTAGTACGATTATTCTTCTGAAGGGTTACCCAATGATGTCCATTTTTTGTTAATTTATTTATTAGACATCAACTCTCCAAGGAACTTTAGCTGCTTAGTTGATAAGTCATTCTACTTTGATTGTCGAAAGGAACTACTATCTTCAAGTATATTTTTCCTTAAAGAAGTGTTTGATGGTTTTTTTTGAACACACCCCTAGATGAGGGTGCTTCCTCTCTTAATTTATCACGATCTTAATAATCTATTTCTGCTCCTTGTTATATTATTATTAATATGCTTAGGCAGTTGAAAGGCCCTGGGATGAAATACCATTTGTCTTTAGTGAAGAAACTATGAAGAACATATCAATGGAAATTGTCAGGGAAAAGTTGCTAGATAATGTGCATCAGGTACTACTTTTTTTTTTTTTTTCTTTTTAAATAATATTTGTTATGAATATGAGAGAGACAGAGAGAGAGGGAATAAAAGTAGTCAAGGAATTCATTGGTTGTATTGCAACTCTGATTTATGTATTTAACCTAAGGCTTTTGATTTTTAATTCAGGAAGTTCCATATGGCATTGAACATCGCTTAATTGATTGGAAAGAATTACGAGATGGTTCTCTCAGAATTGAGCAGCATTTAATCACACCCAAGATAAGCCAACGCAAGATTCTTGTGGGAAAGAAGGGTTCTAAAATTGGGTAATTAATGTTTCCGTGAATGAATTACTTTTAATGTACTCTGAAGAAATCTGGGACACTTTTTTCTATGTAGTTCATTTGCAGTAGGGTTCTGATAAAAATCCAAAGGCCTACCAAGAATGTTTAACTTCATTTTGGACCTGAATGCATTTATGATCAAATGTTCTGACTTGGCTGGACTAACTTCTTCATTTTATTAATTTCCTGGTGACTGGCGTAATTTGACTAAATCAATTATTTATGTATTTATTATTTTGCGTGATGCAATTTTTTCTTCTCTGACAACTATGGAATTATTCACCAAATATTAATGAATGGATGCCATTTATATTTATGCAGGAAGATCGGCATTGATGCAAATGAGGAGTTGAGATCAATATTCAAGAGGAACGTCCATCTAATCCTCATGGTGAGAGTTAAACAATGAGATTGGCTTATTATGCAGCGGCTCAAAGGTAAACATGTTGCAACTCACCAATGTGGTTGTGCATACAACAGAAGCTGCTTCTAGCACATTACATCAAAAACAGGGTTTTGGAGCGGAAAGAAGTAAAATATATTGACACATTACACATTCATACCTTTGGGGGTTACTATAAGTTGATCAGCTTAGCAGCTAAGCTTGTACTCATAGCATGTAGCTCTTTAGTGTTTTCAGTTAATTTAAAAATGCCTCTTTTTTTTCTGCTTCTATTTTGGGGGTGGGGATGTAAAGGGAAATTTGGGGATATGAGGAATTAATAGAAGGGTTGGCATCAAGATGGATGATAATGGAACTATGCTGCTTTCACGGGTTTAGCTCACTGATTCAGTAGCAGTATTTGGGAGAAGATAGTGGAACTATGCTTCATCCCTTCCATTGTAAAAGTTGATTTTCCTATTTAGTGCAATAGTCTTATTGGTGGTCAATATCAACTCTCTTATGTTTTACTTGGGCAGTCTGGCTTACTTTGCATGTATGCTTTATAACTGGATTTTCTGAGGGTGACTATCAAGATGTATGGGGCACTAAATCTGTCAAAATCCTATTTATTACCATCAATATATATGTACTCGAATAATTTTACATGTATTTTCATTTATTATTTTCTATGATGTGGTATGTTTTGATTGCTTAAAATAAGAGGGTCGTGATGAGTAGATTTTTGGAGTCACAGACACCAAAAGATTTGCAACACCAAAACTATTTAACATAAAGATAGGCATAACGCTAGATTTGGAATGTACCTGACACCTCATCACCGGCCTCTGAGTTCTACTCATCACATAGATTCGACCCTGTTGGGTGCTACCACCTCCAGTTTGGCTCCTGTTGGCGCTTCCATTCCCATTGTTGTTGCTTCCCCTATCGCCATTGCCATTCCTACTCTTAGGCCTGTCTCCCACTATAGTTCCCTTTTATTGACTCTCATTTCCCTTGGGTCCTTGAACAGATACACTCCCTTGTTGATGTAGCACTCAAAAGCTCGTGTCTTGTCCTATTGCAGTTGAAGCACTTAACCAAATTCCCTCGGCAGTCAGTCCTCGGGTGATTCTTTCCACATCTTCTACAGTTAGGGCTGTGCATCAGATGGGTTTGGGCGGATCGATTTTTGGAACCGTCCACCCGTCCGGATTTCGGATTGGAAAAATCTTCCCCAATCCGTTCGAATTTATAACATAATCCTTTCGGATTTCCCCTGTTCAGATGGGGTCGTGTATGAGTCGGATTTCGGTTTCAATTCGGATTATACAACATTTTAAAAAAAAAACTGTAGAAAGTTGAAACTTAATAGTATTAAGTACTTTAATTGTTACATCTAAGTAATAACTTAAAACTAAATTACCAAAGCTATTTAGCTACATATTGCAATTTGCAAATTGCAATCACAATTCACAAAAGTTCAAAGTTCAAAGTGTCCAAGTCCAAATGTGAAGTGTTCAAAAAGCAAAATTGAAGTTCACAAAATCAACAATTCTCAAATCAGCAATAAGCAAATCACACTATTACATGTTTACACTTTACAGCACTCAACTACTCAAGTACTCAGCAATCAGCAATCAGCATTCAGCATTCATTCATTCCTCCTCTTCCTGCTGAATTATAAAACCATTAAAGCCAATAAAGACAAAGAGAACTACATGTCTACATATCAACTCAAGATAATAAATAAATAAATAAAAGGCTCAGATTGCTTTTTTTCATATCATGTTAGAGTTGGGGGCAAATTGCTTCATGAGTTGTCTCAGAGCAATATACCAAACACCCAAAGTCCTTTTAATTCAGACAAATGGTGGAAGCATCATCATAGCCATAAGAAACACAAACTAAATGAGACTATGAGAGGAAGGGAAGTGATATACCAGAATTCCAGAGAAGGCATAATTGATAATACCAGAGATCTAACTGAGTAAGGGCAGCAACATTTATAAAAAAAAAAGTTACTAAGCCACATAGCAATTAGCAGTTCTGGAATCTTACCTGAGTTGCCTCAAAGAGTCCACACATTTAGCAATCAAACTAAACAGAAAGGAGTGTTATATCAACTAATAAATTATAAAAGTATTACAACAATTGTTGGGAGTGTTCCAACCGTACTTAGTGAAGAACCAGCTCCAGTGGACAATTCTGCACAAAAAGAAAAAACAAAAAAGAGTTTAGAAACTGTAACAATTAACAATTTATAAAGTTGAAACCTAGAAAGTTAGAAAATAGAAAGAGTACCATTCTCTAATCTTTCAACATCATCCAAGTTTTCCTCAACAAAGATTGGATGATTGGGTGCCCTCAACCAATCCTGTGCACAGACTAGGGCTTCAACAATTTTAGGAGTTAAGGAACTCCTAATGGCATCTAATACCCTATCACTAGTACTGAATGCACTCTCAGAGGCAACAGTTGAAATGGGAACAGCCAGCACATCCCTTGCCATTTTAGAGAGTATAGGAAATCTATCACTGTTAACCTTCAACCATCTTAGCACATCAAAGTCCACATTTTCTTCATCTTCCACTAATTTTTCACTTAGATTTTGGAGTTCAGTTTCTTTACTGCTTCCACCAGTCTCCATTCTCTGTTTTTTTAGCTAGCTTTTCATTCTAGCCTGAGGTTTTCCAACTGAAGTTTGAGAATAGACAGGTTCAGATTGCATAGATTGCACAGTAGGGGATGCAAACTGCACATGGTAGGTGGCTGTATAATCATTAAATAGCACAACCATAGAAGATTGAACCTTTTCAAAGCATGATTTTCCTTTATCATCACCATATAACTGGGCAAATTGGGCAGGCATGTACTCAATATATTGGCATAGAATATCATGAAGTTCATTTTCTCAGGATCTCCCCAATATTTTTCAAATTTTTGTTTCATATGGGACCTCATTTCCTAAAAAAAACAGACATAACACAGAAAAAATAAAATCAAAGTCAAACACAATTCACAGTTTCACACAAACACATTCACAAAATGTTTACAATTTACCTTTTCAGAGGTTGAAACAGAGTTAACCATGTCATCCAGCATGCAACCTAAGTCAGAAATCTCAGAAAAGAAGTATTTGAAGTGACATAGAGAGAACTAGATATTCTCACAGTCATCTCATAGAAGCCTTTCAGAAAATGGACTAAGCTTTGCACAGAAAGCCAATCCATAAAATTTGGAATAGAATAAGATAAGTCAGCAATCATTGAGGAATCATTCTCATAAGCTTCAAAGGCCCTCTGGTATTGAAGGGCAGTGTTGAGCATGATGTATGTGTTGTTCCATCTTGTTGGAACATCAAGCAGTAATGCAGATTTGGCTTCCACCCCATTAAGCTCAGCAAGCTCTCTAAACTTCTTGAGTCTTGCAGGAGAACTCCTCACCCATCTCACAACATCTCTAACTTTCTTAACAGAAGGACCTGCATATCTCAACCCATCTTGGACCACTAAGTTCAACACATGGGCTATGCACCTCATGTGCATATATTGAACCCTAACAGAAGACCCACCGTACCCCAGGACAGAAGTTTGTTCTTGAAAAACCCCAAAGCTGTGTCATTTGAAGAGGCATTATCAACAGTAACAGTGAAGACATTTTTTATCCCTCACTCAAGAAGACAACTCTCAAGGGCTTTGGCTATGTACTCTCCCTTATGAGAAAAATTGGGACAAAAGAAATGATCTTTTTGTTAAGCTTCCACTGATCATCAATGAAATGTGCAGTAATGCACATGTAATTTATCCTTTGGACAGAGGTCCATGTATCAGTGGTCAAGCTGACCCTTTGGGTGCTTACCCTAAACAACTTTTTTAGGCTTAGTCTCTCATCTAAGTAAATCTGGTAAATGTCTCTAGAAATGGTCCACCTAGAAGGAATTTGAAACATAGGACAAGCAACTAAAATGAATTTCCTAAAGCCATTTCCCTCAACAATCCTAAAGGGAACACTACAAAAAACCGGTCATTTAGCAACATAATATTAGAGGCGGTTTGTTGTAACCGCCGCTAAATAAGTATTTAGCGACGGTTATATAAACCGCCACTAAAAATAAGGGGCAACTTTTAAAATTCTCCCTGTCTGATGTATATATCCTCCCTCCTATGTTAAATCACTACAAATTTAGTAATCAAAAATTTCTAACCCTAGTTCATAGTCGATCCTCTCTGCCTCTGCAATTTTCACTGCCCCTCCGTCGTCTTCGACTCTCCCGTCTCCGCTTCTCATTTTTGACTTTCGGCTTCTCCACTCATCTCTCGCCTCGCATAGTCACCGCCTTACACCCTCCGCCCGGTTATATATGGTTGGAAGGAGCACTAGTACTGGAACAGGTTTATGACGGGGGTTGATTTTTCGGTAATTTCTCCCTTTTCTTTTTCTTTTCCACTTTCAGCTTTTCCTTTTTCTCTGCGAATCAAATCTGCTATCTAAGTTCATCATGGCTTGCTATTTCTCTTCCTCCTTGGACCGTCGCTTCCTAGTTGAACGCCAAAATGTGTGTTTTTTAAAGGTTCTTCTCATTTTCAATTTGGATCTTTGCCCTACTTTTAGGTACTCCTTGCTTGAATTTTGTTAATTAATTTGAAATTTTAGTTTTCTTTTCATTTACCGCTGATAATTCTGTAATTCCGTAATGTTCTACTACATTCAGCATTTTGCTCTGCTTATCAGTATCAGATCTTTCCTCTATAGATGACACTGATTTTGAAAATGCAAAATCCATTGATTGTAGAGTATAAGGACTCCTGGGTGGAGAAGGTTAGTTCTAAGGCTAATGAAAAATATGTTATTCTTACCTGTTTTGTCTGTCCTTTCATATTCTTATGCAGAGTTTGTGACACTACTTATCTTTGTTGTTTATTCAGCCAAATAGGATTACCTTTAACTTGACACCAGAGATCATTCTTCAGGTATATTGTTTCCTTTTTACTTTTCTAAACATGACACTGTACAACACATTTAATTATTAAAAAAAGAAGAAGCTTAAAATAAGAATTATCAGGTATTGTCATAAATTTGGTGCAACACGATTTTTTTTAGCATTTTTGTTATGATTTGATATGCAATTGTTAATTCATTCATGTGGTAGGGCTGCAGCAAGATTCTTAGATATGACTTTCCCAAATGCTGCCAATGCTATTCCACTTTAATTTCCTATAGAACATTCTATACTTCTATTTGATGGTACATCACAATCTCAGTAGTTTGGATATTTGTTAGTATTAAATAAAATTTATGGTGTACGAGGTTGAACATATTCCGGATATTTATTATGGAGATCTAATAGTACTAAAAAACCTAGACTATACTATACTTTTAAAGGTACATTTGAAACTCCTGTGAGTTGCTATCTTCTATAGAAAGGCCTCAAATACAATTTCTCTCAACCTTGAATTTTTTTTTCTTTTTTTCTATTTGATATGCTTCTGTTTCAGTGTTTCCCTTGATCTCAAGGGAGGGATGAAGAAGAGACTGAGAAGTGGAGTGGTTTGTTACTCCATTGGCTCTGCAATGTCTCCTCTGTGTAAGTAAATATCTTTCACTATTTTCGTTGTTATTATTTTTACTGTGCATCCTTCCTTATTTGTAAATGTTTGGCACTAAAAGTATAGCACAGTCTCTGGTCTTCCCTTCTTTTCCTCCCTTTTACTCTGAATTTTCACATGATTGCTATGACATTGGTGCTAATTTTTAGGTCAATGATGTTTAGTATGCGTGTCAAGACTTGCATGTTTTATTCTCACAATTCTTCGATTCTCTTCCTTAGGGTTTTGATGCTTGCCAAGAGAACTTCTATTCAAAAATCTTTTCTTGTTCCTTTGTTTTCTTTGCAAACCCCTTTAACTCTCGTCTCATGAATCAAGTAAGCATCTCTCCTTAATTTTTGTGGTTTATGGTCATGGTGAGTGTATGCTATTAAATTCCAAGCTTCAATAAACAAATTGAACATTGATTTGCAGGGGTGAGTATGGCTTTTGGACAGCATTCTTGGCACTGCTTATTCACCTTTTCATCTTCTTTCCTGGTAAATTTTATGCCAGTTTCTGTGCTTTGTTATATTGGCATAACTCTTTAAGTATACCCAATCGGCATTATTTGAAACATGGAATTGCCTGTTTTGACAATCTTAGAAATGTAAGATAGAAATAATTCCAGGTTTTTTCCTGCTTGTTAAGTTAAGACGATGAAATGAACACGAGGGACGTCACCCATACTGAGCCTAATATTGAATCTCTTGTTTTCTGCTTTGGAATTTTATTTCATTTCTTGGCAAATGAGGCTTTGGACAAGTCTATGTTGGTCGCTGAATTTCTGGTGGTAATGCAATTGAAAGAACACGAGGGACGTCACCCTTACTAATAAATTGGATTTCTCTCGTGTGTGTTCAATGCAAACATCTTATGTTTTGGTGTTCTAGTGCTGCACAGGTAGCTTTGAAATTTGAGCATCGAAATAGTAAAGGATGCAACTATGGACCACCATATGAATGACAGGTTTACAAGTTAAATAATTGTCTATGACAAGTAATAAAACAACTTAAAATTGAAATCCAGATTGTGTTTTGCAGTGGGTGTATATGAGCAATTACTGTAAATTCTGATCTTTTCTTCATACTTTCATGCTACAGGTCTTAACATCATTTGCAGGGGCTCTCCTGGAGAAGCAAGTTGTAGTAGTTTGTTTGCTTTCAGAGGAAAGAAAAATACTACAAGGAAAAGTCAAGACTATTAATTCTCATCGAGGGTGAGAAATGATATTCATAGTCTAGTGATGATGTAAAATGTCAATTTCCTTTTGCACGAAACCTTCATATTGAATAAACTACTATATTGTCTTCTGTTATCAGTTGCAGGATTATGCAAACAAATAGAGGGACTGACTAATAATGTTGAAATATCAAATGAAATGGTAATTCCCCCTCTTCAATTATGTATTATTTCTGTTTTTATGTAGAACTATAGAAGCACTGGCATAGGGGAACTTTTCATGCCTAACATAGTAATGCCTCCTGCTTATACTTGAGGCAATTTTTTTTTAATATTTTATTTTTTTACTGTGATGTGATCAGTGGTCCACCTTGCAATGTGGACCATGATTCAAGTATAATTTGCCCATTTTTTGCAATGACTTTAGCTTAGTAGTCACTTGGTGAGTTTATGAGACTGTTATTCAGAGCAGTGACATCATAAACTAATCATTTCTCTTACAATCAACAAATTAGTGAAAGAACTTGAGTCATGCCATTATCTTGCTTGACTTGAAACACTGGAGATTTGTCTTCTAATTCATTTTCCCTGATATTTCAAGAATGTGGCTGAGTTCTAAATCATTACTACATAACAAATTTACAAATTTGTTTAAATATGGTTGCAGGTGTTTATGTTGCAAGAGAAGCTGGAAGAGAAGGATATGGAAATTAGAAGGGTAAAGAAAGAGCGGGAGCAAAGAGGTCTCAAGGAAGAGTCACATGAGAAACCATCACTACAGAGGAGATGAATGAGCTCTCTTCTGATGATAAAATTGCCACCAATGAGCTTGGATGTAGAATTGATTTTCTTTTAATATGTAAACTTTCTTGAATATTGTTAAACATTAGTATTTGGCAATACAAGTTACATTTGATTTTCTTCTAAATTAAATGTTTTTTTTGTGTGTGTGTGTGTGTGTGTGTGTGTGTGTGTGTGTGTTTGCAATGCACATATGAAAGTAGATGTTTACAACAAAAAGTAATTTAATGACAATTATTATAAATTTAGTAGCAATACCTATTATATTAGAAAATACAAAAAAAATAATTATATATATATATATATATATGAGAAAATACAAAAAAAAAAATTAAATAAACATTAGCGGCGGTTTTGAAACCGCCGCTAACATTTACCAAAAAAATATATATTAAATAAACATTAGCGGCGGTTTACACATTTAAAATAAATATTAAAAAAATATTAGCGGCGGTTCCCAAACCGCCGCTAAATGCACATTAAAAACTGTAAATATTAAATAAATATTAGTGGCGGTTATAAACCGCCGCTAAATGCACCCAAAACCGCCGCTAAATGAGTTTTCCATTAATTCCCGCGGTTGTTGAAAACCGCCGCTAAATGCTTCGCGACACACTATTTAGACACGGTTTAATAACCGCCGCTAAACACACTAGTGGCGGTTTGAAACCGCCGCTAAACGCAAAAAAAACCGCCGCTAAATGCCTGATTTGGTGTAGTGGAAGTTCATCAACAATGATCATCTCACACAATGCCCTCCTAATAGCCTCTTGGTTGAAAACCCAAGTCCCCAAAACCCCCTCAGAAACTTCTATTCCAGAGGTATAAACAGCATTAAAGGTGAGAAGAGACTGCCTTGTATCCTTAGAATGAGGATTTTTTAGGCAGGCCTCCATATGGTTTCTCAATGAGGAAGTGCCATGCTTTTTACTTTCACATTTATAAATTTTTGCACAATAAAGGCATTTGCGTTAACTATTGGTCCCTCAGGATCACGGATCTTTTCAAAATAATCTCATACTTTGGATCTAGACTCCACCTCTTTCCTCTTCTTTGTAGGAACAACACGAGGAGAAGGCATAGGATTTGTCTGAGGATTTCTCTCAGCACCTGGAGCTTCTACTCCATACTCCTCTTCAGTTGAGGTTGGAGGGTGTCCAGATGCACTGATGCTTTCCATCTATAAAGATGGGCATCAGTAAACAAATATATCCAAATAAAGTAGACAACCAAACAAATTTGAGATTACAAATCATAAACAAGTAACAGATTACAACATATTTTAGATTAAAGCTTCCACCATACATAGAAGTATAGAACATAGTCAAGCAGATTAGCAGATTACATATTACACTTCCACCATAAAATCATAAATCAGATTTGCATTTTTCGAATCATCATCTAAATGGAATTGCCCAAACCTTATTGCCTTAGGACTTGGGAGGTTTAGGGCTTTGTGCTCATACAATCAACACAAATACACAATGCAATTCAATCTCATCATAATTCATAAAATCCATAATCACATTAATCAAATTTAGGCTTCCACCACTACAATATGTAACATAATTACATATATACAGTCTGTACAAAGTTAAGGGTCCTATTACCATAAACATGAAACAATATATCAGGAATTTGACAAATTCATCATTTATATGGAAAACCCAAAAAATTAGGGCTTAGTGAGCCAGACTCACTGACTCACGTACAAATTAGGGCTCACAAAGTCACAATTTCATCACAAATCGCAGAATAATGAAAATAATCAGAATATACAGAAACCTCACAAACTATCTAAGTATCAATCATAAATAACACAACTTACACAAGAACCCTAAAAAAATAGTATTAAAAACATGTTTTCGATTACTTGTTTTCTCCAATATTTTCCCGGAGAACTAGGTCTTCAACTTCATTCTTCAAGCAATCAACACAGGGACACTGGACACAGGGGCTTCCACCAAGGCTTCGCTGGCTTGAGAGTTGAGGCTTCCGCCATGGCTCTAGAGTCAAGAGTAGGGCTGTGCAGAACGACAGAACCCTCGAAGCCTCTGAGACTAGTCGAGAAACTTAGAGAAGACAAGAGAGTGAAGAGACTAACCCTAGTCTGAGTCTCTGAGGCTCTGAGAGTGAGAGAGTGAGAGAGAAGTAGAGAAGACTGAAGAGAATTGCGCAGCTGATGAGCTGAATAATGAAGCAATTGCAAACCCTAGCGCATATAATGCATATATATATATAATTCCCACACGACGTCGTATTATATATATATATATATATATATATATATATATATATATATATATATATATATATATAACTGCCTGTCTCGAGTCTGAGTCCTTCTCACTGAATTTTGTCCTTGAGTCTAACGGTCTCTTCATTACCACTGGCACTACCCCTCTGAAAGCTCTTGACTGGCTCAGGATTGTCAAACTTAATTCTCTTTTTAGACCTTGTTTAGTCTTTTCCTCGTTAAGTAGTATTTTTGGTGTGTACTCTAAGGCCAAATAGTTTATAAATATTACTTTGTATCTCAATTTCTTTGTCCAATATACACTAACTACAATTTTTAAAGTCAAAAAGGATAATCAATAATAAGTTGACAAGTAGAGCATGCATAACATAGTGTAAGAATAAGTAAGATGACTAAGATCTGCATTTACACCAGTCTCCAGACATAAAATAATACACCCAAGCCACTTGGTAATAATTTGTTGACAATTTAATTTGAAGTTTTTATAGGAATCTTTTTGATGATTAATTACGAAGATCAATCTAGTCAAGATATACTACTTACTAGTATAGTAGTATAGGTACATTACTCAGTAAACAATATAATTGAAGAGTCGTCTAAATCTGGGATGTTCTTCAGATCACTCAGCTCCTTGGATCGGATCACAAGATTTTCCCTCATTTTCATGGCAGGAAACAGTAGTTGAAATATACATACATATATGATTAGAAGGTATTAGCATATATATATATATATTCTCCATTTAATTTCCTGGGCGGCCGGCAACTTGCCCAGCGACGACTATGACTCCCATTCCATGAATCTACATTTCATTTGGAAATTAAACTAAATTTGATTGATTTGAACACTTCATATATATGTTTTGTTTGGTTTTTGGATTGTGTAATATAATCAAGCTAGCATTGACACTGCACAAATAGAATTGGAGACACTTTTTGCAGACATCACTTTCAGGAGGACAGCAAGATAGAGGAGGTTTGTACTTTGTAGTAGGGTCAACTCACATGTTACGTTCCTTACTCTAATTAATGGTGGTTGACCTTTCTGGCCCTAAAACTTTAATTTCAATTCTACCTAATCTATACTCCTTCACTTTTACTCCCTGATATGATGTAGTATGAGATCAGATGATAAGCTATCTTTATTTTATGTGTCCTAAAAAAAATGTTAACATCAAAATTGTGAGTGAAAGTAAAAATAAGGAGTAGAACTTGATAATATGATAATAATTAAGTAGTATTTTCTTAAAAGTTTTTCACCTTTTCTCCTTTCAAAATAACATTCATTTTATTTGTATTATTATTAAACCATCACAAGTAATATACATATATAATTCAATCTTATTTGTTCTTACCATTTTTGTCTATTCTAATATAATATTATGTGTTCCGCACAGTACAATGTGATTTCATTTTTTTTTTCAAATTTTTTTAATGGGCTTTTATTTGCAAACTGGTCAATTTTATTACAGATTGAATTAATTAAATAAAACGAACCATGCAAATTTGGTTGTGTATTGCATTATTCTACCGGGCATTATATTATTATATATAAGAGAAGTGAGAATCCAAGTTAGAAAGTAGGATATGATGATCGATATATTATCCATAATCTGATAATGGTTAATTGATATAAGAATGAGAGCTAGCTCTCTAGCTAAAAATTAAAACCATGCATGCAGATTGACCCAGTCCAAGCTAAGAAAGCACTTATATATATATATATATATATATATATATATATATATATATATATATATATATATAGTTTATGCAATAATAAGGTAGGTAGGTAGGTGTTGACTATATATATATATATATATATATAGTGGGCAATTAATAATATATTAAAGTGGAAATAAAAATGGACATAAATAAAAATGATTACAAAGTACAATAAGTAGATGGAGAGGAGAGGTAGCTAGCGTATGTAGTTAAATATATAAGAGTACAATATAATAATTAATTAATAAATAAAAATGATCACATGAGTAAGCTTCTGATAATAGCAGCTTGAGCACTATCGCTGTCCGTTGATTCCAAAAGCTCCGATAATCTTTCGCTCAAGTCATCCACTTCCCTATGCAGCCTTCTTATATAGTTGCATGTCTCTTGTAAAACCTTTGATGCCGACGCCTATATATATTTTCATTCGATATTTTTTTAATTACCATATAATATACAAATTGCAATGTACAGCACATTATTTGTATGAGTCAAAATTTCAAGTTTTGGGCATACGTGACCGAACAGCAAATTAAAGGATCATAAGAGGATAAACCAACCAGCTTAGCTAGGTCTTCCATAGCTGACGGACTCAAATCAAGGAGTTAAGGTTAGGATTCGAAATTGTGACCTTAGTTTGTGATTACAAATTTGTATATTTAGTCAACTTGGCTGGGTTATCTTCATTGTATTATTATATGATTTGGAGGGGGTATTTGAATTTGAATAATATTGAGGAAAATAGAGTGAGTTTATATTATTATTATATATATAGATCCAAATGGATGCATATATGTGTGTCACCACACGACATTAAATGGGGGGATGTGTGGCCTGGCCTGCTGGGAATGTGACCCTCGCTCTAGCTTAGCTTATCTTCAAAGCTAGCTAAGGGATCGAAATGAAGGCCACACGTAGAAATCTGGAATAGTATAATGAATATGGGCGGGATCGGAAGAGATACAGTATACTATAATGTAGTTAGTGTATTCATGTACACATACACATATACATACAGATGATAGTATGTGCGTATAGCTAGGGCGGGAATTGAAAGAACAATAATAATGTATATATACCTTGTCGGAACGTCTGTTTCGGATCTCAGGGATAAGTCGTTGGAGCTTGGAGACGAGGTCGGCGATCTGATCCTCGCTTATTCTGGACACTCCATCCGACGACTGTCTGGAACGCGATGATGATCTACGGCTAGACATTATTATTAATTTAATATGATCACCTACCTTAGCTTAGCTTAGCTTGTCTCAGGTATATATAGTAGCCGGAACAACCAACGTAACTAACAAACCTAAGTACTATATATACTAACCTACCTAGCTAAGCTACCTACGATACGATGATATGATAATTGGAAGAAAAAAAAAAAGGGGAAGTTTTGTTGTTGTCAGAGATGTATGTATGGAGGTTGAAGAGTGAATGTGATCGATATATGAAGTGAGTTGGGGGATTATATATTTAAAAGCTAGGCTGGGTTGGTAGAAGAGAAGAGAAGAGAAGAGAAGAGAAGAGAAGAGAAGAGAGAGGCAAGGAGGGGTAACTGTAACTCTAACTGTGTAGCCACAAATGATTATAGACACGGAGATGAATTGAAGGAAGAGAGAGAGAGAGAGAGAGAATTGGATGGGAGAAACATACATAAACACTAAACAAGTATTGTTGGAGGTGATGAAGACAAGTGCATGGGAGAAAGTAGTGGGCTATTCTTGTTTTTATATACATACAACAATTACACACATATATGTATGTATGTATGTATATGCATGATGTAGACACGCCTAAAATGAGGAAAATAATTTCATTATTAAGTTAAGCTTCTATAGATGGTGTTGTACTTTTTTAAAAATTTATGGTTACTTTGTGAATAATAATATGAGGTAATAAAGAGAGAAATATATAGTCCAAAAATGATGTCAACAATGACTGAGATAAGATTTAAGCCCTATTTGGTAAATGGTTGATAGCGGTTAACTGTTAGCTATTATCTGATTGGATTAATTAGAATGTATAACTAATTGATAACATTAACTAATTGTAGAAAGGTTTTTGATAAATTAGTTGTTTGATATAATTTCCTTTCTCAAAAAGCTAATTGAAAAAGCTCCTCAAAACAACTTTTTGAATTTTAACACTTTGGAGTTGACTTTTTAACCAAGTTAAACAATTAACAGTGATCAAATAAGCCAAAATTGGTTGATAGGCTAATATTTTACCAAATAGGGCCTTAGAGTGTATTTGGTTGGAGACTTTTGCACTCTATTATGAGTTTTGATGTCATACTACCGTCTTTCATCATGACATCAAGTCAAGCAATGAACCACTACGCTAAGTCCCGGAGACATATTTTGTTGCCCATTAAAAAAAATAATAATAAAAAAATTCTCTCAACCTCAAGGCCGGGTCCCCACAATCTTACATGAGAAGATAGTGGCAAGATAATTAAGATGATTATAATATTATATATAAAAATATTTTTTTATTTACCTGGCATTTATTACAATTAAATTATATATAGCAATTATAAGCAACAAGAAATATATATATATATATATATATATATATATATATATATATATATATATATAAACCCTAAATAAAAAGTAAGACCAGAAGCAGGTGGATGAAATTGAAAATCCAAAATCCAAAATCCAAAATAGTAGAGTGAGATGAGAGAAAAGAAAGGGCCGGGGTGGCCTGCTGGTGGAATGGGGACAAATTATTGTGTGGACCACGATTTAAAATAATATTATTGAATTTTATGATAAGTTAGAATAATGTATATTAGAAATTAGAATAATGTACTTTATGTCTTTAGAATAATACTTTATGAGTTTTTTTTTTTTTTTTTGAAAGTTACTGGTCCTATTACATTGTAGAACAACATATATTATATGAGTTAGAACAACATATATTATATTTTAAAATAATGTACATTATAAATTATAAAAATATATATGGTAGTGAATTATATCGGATAAAAAAAATTACACAAAACACACTGTTGGAAATTATGGAATTTTCGACCATCTGAAAATGATCTTAAATCAAGTCGAAAGTAAAAAAGTGATCATAAATAGCAACACAGATTTATTCGGATACCAAAATAGTCGAAACAAGATTTTTGACTTGATTTAAGATCACTTTCAAGTGATCGAAAATTTCATAATTTCTAACAATAATAACGTCATTATTAGACTATGATCCACACAACTGTGTGAAACATGGTGCACGCATTATGCATTAAACATTGTGGAGTAGGGGTGCAGAAGAGATCAGAGATACGCCACACTGGAAGAGAAACTTGCTGCCCCTATTCCTATTTGTGTCAGTCGCAGCACGCAAGCCCACGTTATCCTTCTATCTTCTTCCTTCTATCCCATCCTTATATATATATATATATATATATATATATATATATATATTATTTATTCACCACATGCATCCGCCATGCATGCCCAACAATTTACATTTTTATTCTAACATTTTTTTTATATTATTATTTATTTACTCAAGATATACATGACCACAAGATATCCACCAATTTAAATTATCCATGGCTTACTACTTCAAATTAAAAAAGAATTAAACTTTGAACATTATGATTATTAAGTTACTATTCCATCAATTTGACTGGGATTACCCACAATATATATGATCTCATCTCATCTTTCTCATTATAGCTAAATCATGAGTTTAATTGGAGGATGAGCTGAGAAATTTTATTGCTCCACTGTTGATAAATTTTAGTAAGTATATATATGATCTAGTATGAACTCAATCGTTATGTTGTGCACACAGTTGCAAAAACGACGTTGTTTTGACTAAAAACGCGCGTCTCACATAAAAAAAAAAATCAGTTTCGATTCCCGTCAACAGCATTATGTTGTGCTCATTCATTCTGGATATTTAGTTTATTCATTATGGATATTTAGTTCATTCATTCTGGATATTTAGTTCATTCATTCTGGATATTTAGACGGGAATTGAAACTAATTTCTTTTTTCATTCATGCTGGATATTTAGTTCATTCATTCTGGATATTTAGTTCATGCATTCTGGATATTTAGTTCAAATTATGCACAATATAATGCTGTTGCCGGAAATCGAAATTGAATTATTATTTTTAAGTGGAATGCACATTTTTAGTCTTAATGACGTCGTTTTAACAATCGTGTGCACCATACATGATACACGGATGCACAACATAATTTGCCGTATGAACTAGCTAGCTACTAATTTTTTTATTTTTTTTTTTAATGTGAACAATACACGGCGGCCATGCATGCATTTCCCATATGTAACGGCAAGGTTGTTTGAAGCCATGCTAGCTAGGATAAGTCACTTTAATTTGTCAATGGGACTTTTGAATGTGAGGATGCATGGAATACACCGTACCATTCCTTAGGGGAATGAATTGAATAGCGTTAATTATGGATAGTTGGGGCCTCCCAATGTATAGTAGGGAAATTTGTAGCACTACATTGTTGACCACATGCAAACAAACATTAGAGCATCCTCAATAGTTACAGTTTTTGAAGACCAAGTTTTTATAAGTGTGACTAGAAAAGAGAAGATGAGATGAAAAATGAAAAGGAAAAAATAAAACGAAGTTGAAAAAAAATAATGAAAAAAAGTGACATTAACCACACCAAGAAGCACCGATGAGAATGCCTTTATAAACCTATTTTTCTAATTCTCTCCCCCTTTTAAAATATATTTTACTATTATATAATAATATTTACAATTCAATGATATTTTCTCTATATTTATAAAATTTCAATTCGATCATATTTAAAATATAATAATATTAATAAAAGCATTTAAAATTATTAATGTAAAAAAGTTTAAACAATTTCTATACCAAAAACTACAAAATTTCTGATGTACAAGTCTTTCAAGAGTGATTTGTATTAAGTGGAATTCTTTTGAAATTAAAATAATCTAGCGTGACAATAGCCATGTCAGATTGCATTGCAATTTCCATATTTTCAGGGATGGTGAGTCTTACTACAAGTTATTGCCATATTGTTAATATTTGCAAGAAAAATCATTTTAATTTTTTTTTTTTAATTTAAAAACGGTCAGTCGTTTCTAAACATTTCAGATGGGAATCTTTCGTTTGTGTATTAAAAAGTAGTTTTGATTATTATAGAATATTATAACAGTGAAGTGAGGTCTCATTTTAAAAATTTTGGTCACGATCCAACACGTGCAGTGGTGTCCAGTGATCTCTGCATTCTTAGCTTTGACCCGATTCCTCAGCTCCGCCAACTTATTTTATTCATCATATTTTTTTTTTTTTGAAAGTATTTTATTCATCATATATTTACATATATTCCATATAATAAGCCAAATGGATAGCTCAAGTGATAAAATGGGGGTTTTTTTTTTTTTGGACGATCCTAAGGGATAATCTAAGTCCAATTTTCACAAGTGATAATTCCCTTTAAGCCAGCTTCCATGCTTCTCGGAGTGAACATGTATTAAATATATATAAACAAATATTTTGAAAAACATTTTAAATATATACGATGTACTATGAATACTCGATACATACTCAAAATCCTCCATTGCTCACTTTGAAATAGTATTGAATATAAAAGTCACCGCTATCGATCTATCACTTTAAAATTTTTAATATAATATAATATAATATAATAGGTTTTGTTAAATAAATAATGACCAAATCAGAGCTTGTTACTAAGCTGCTACTATTATTATTATTATTATTACTATTATTATAAACTAATAAACTATTAAGAAATCCGAGCTGACGTACGTGATTTCTGAAACACACCCCTTAAAACTAGCTTAGTTGTTTTTCTATGTCTACAACATCATGATAATGTTAAAAAAAAAAAAAAAAAAATCTTGGAGAGTGTTGATCTGAAACATCGATTTTATTTTTGAAGAAAAAATATATTTTTTCCTTTATATATATATATATATATATATATATATATTATATTATATTATATTATATTATATTATATTTGCCCTTGCAATAGAAAATATTTTTAAAATCCAGAAATATTTTTGAATCCTACTATCATATTATTATATTTGTAATTTATTAATATTTTCCAGTAGTCTTACATCTCTAATTCACTCTTAAAAATATGATATAATGATAATATAATATTAAAAGTAATACACAGTATTTAATTTTATTTAAAAATTGGCCCCACAAGATTGATAGAGACATGAAGTGTAATTAAAATGATACTTCAGCATTACTATTGATAGATATATTACGAATGGAGCCGAACTGACCTGACATGACGAAGCACGGAGGATCCAAGCAGACCCGGGGCCCCGGGTTCGAGCCCTGCGCTCAACTCAGGCCACCTCGCCACGAGGCCTCGGCAGCGGGCCCCGGCACGAGGTCTCAGCCACGTTGCCCGGTCTTCAGATCGGGCGCGGTCAAAGAGGGATGGCAGCTGCTCCCCCGGTTTAGGTGGACAGTTAGGGGGGGGGGGGGGGGGTCCGTAGCATGTATAAATGGCTCCTCCTTTGTCCAATTAAGACATGTTCTACCTTTTGTCCTAAACTATTACTTGTACTAGCTAGCATTACGTTCTCCTTGTAATAGTTTGATCAGTACGATCTTAATACGATACAGTCTCCGTGACCTTACGACGTTGTTTTGCCTATTTATCTATTTCCTATATACGTTCTTATCAGGTTTAGTGATTCGGGTCCACCCCGAATAATTAAATTCATCAACTATAATGAAATTAGTGTGTGCAAAATAAAACTAAAAAACAGAGCTTATATAACAATAACAAACTAGGAAAATGGTAACGATTTTTTAAAATATAATATTAAAATTAACGACTTCGTTTTACTTCATGATCGTACTACGCTACTACATGGACCATGATTTACGGTAAAATTTTGCCAAAAAGTATAATTCATATAATATGGTACAACAATGCAAGTGGTAACAAAATATAAAAATTAATAGAAACTAAATTTGCTAAACAATTAATTAATTATAATATGGAGGGCGTTTAATGTTAATTTCTATTTTCTAGGTATATGGTACAACTTTTCCCGGTGCAATAATTCTGGGTGTCGTATTTTGGACAAAGTTACAGCTTGGAAATCGGGTTTGTTCCATAGTTAACTACAATGAAGAGATTTTTTATGGTCAATTATGGCTGAAAATACGATGAATGTGTGGAATCTACCCGCACTTAAACATACAATTAACTTATGTAACATACATATTTTCAAACATCTTTACAAAGTGTTTGTCTTTTGTCCCCATTCGTGTTGGGGAAATTTAAGAATGGCAAAACACCTGTTCATAAAATTTTGTTTGTGATATTTTAATATATGATTCTCAGTTCCTTAAGGCAATCCTAATATAATTGAAATGCTCTTATTGGATTGAAAAGAGAGTTAATTAAATATGTTGATTTACTTAGCTTCTTACAAAAGTGTACGTACTTGGTCTAAGTGTATATCTCAACTAAAATAAAATGAAATATACAAAAGTGGGTGCCGGTTGGATGTACAAGCTATAGCTTAAATAGTAGACTAGAAATAAGAAATTGAACCCTGGTATATAGGTTGAAGGTTAAGACTACTTACAAGCTATAAAGTTATGTGTTGTAATGGTACAATTATAGAGGTGATGTAAGGAAGACATCAAACTCTTTATATAGTGTTGAAGACTTTTAATTTCGGATGTTTGACAAATGTACGGTTCTGATTTATCTTTATTCTCGACCACACGTGTATCTCTGGATGTCAACAATCTTTACATGGGTAAATAGATATAATAATAATAATAATAATAATAATAATAATAATAATAATAATAATAATAATAATAATAATAATAATAATAATATTATTATTATTATTATTATTATTATTATTATTATTATTATTATTATGTTAAACCAAGTAAGAAGAGTTAGTTTGTTAGAAAGTAAATGGGAGTATTATATTACATGGGATGGATGCAGCATTATGTGGAAATAATGGGAGCAGTACATGGCTTCATGTTCCTTAATTTTAGCATTTGAGTTATCTTTCATTTAGTATAAATAGCCTTTGTATTTAAGCATTTTAAATCATCAAGTAAAACATTTTATTCATTCCTCTCTCTCTCTCTCTTCTCAATATATATAAATATAATATATAGATATATTATATTTAATATATATTATAGATATATTATATTATATTTAATATATATTATATTAAATATATTATATTTAATATATCTTACATTTGGTATCAGAGCCAGTCAACCTTTCAACCCCGAGATATTTTCCGTAGTGAAATATGGCTGCAAATTTCAATATTGTATGGTCGGGTCCCAAATTGGACGAGAAACTCGATTATAATTATTGGCAAATTATGATGTCTACATATTTGAAAGCTCAAAATCTTTGGAGCTTTGTTGATCCCGGTCTACCCGAAGGAGGTGATGTAGCCCAAATACGGCGAGATCAGTTGGCTTTGGGTCAGATTCACCAAGGTGTTCATTATTCCATTTTTGGGCAATTAACTCGTGCTCAAACAGCAAAACAAGCTTGAGACATCTTAAAGGTGTCGAACAAAGGTGTCGATCGGGCACAGAAGTCTAAGTTGCAGTCGTTGAGAAGGTTTTACGATAATTGTGAGATGACCTCTACAGAAACAGTAGATGCGTATTTCACTCGTCTTATTGATATGGTGAATAAGATGAGGTTATACGGAGATACGATTGAAGATGGTGCAGTGGTTGAAAAATTTCTTCGAACTATGCCGATGAAGTATGACCATGTGGTGGCTTCGATCACAGAGTCACACAAAACTGAGCTCTTATCAATTGCAGAGCTGAAAGGTATGGTAGAAAGTCATATTGACAGAATTGCGTCAAAATCGGAACCACTAGCAGAAGAAGCTTTGAAGAGTCAAGTCGCCCTTAATGTGACTGACACTAATCAAAGAGGTGGAGGGTCTGGTAGAGGTCGTGGAAGAGAAAAAGGAGGTTCTGGTGGAAGAGGTCGTGGTAACTTCAACCAAGGAGGAAGACGTGGTAACTCCAACCAAGGAAGAGGTGAGGTAATACCAAACAAGGTAAATTTCCATTTTATTGCTACAATTGTGGCAAGTATGGGCACAAGATTGCAGATTGTTGGTATAATGAGGACAACAATCGTGGAAATCAAGCAAACATTGCTGAAAATACTGCTGAAAAGTCTGGTGAGAATTCTGAAACCTTACTTTTGGCCAGTGATAGTTTTTCTGCAGATAAGAACATATGGTTCTTGGATACTGGGTGTAGTAACCATATGTGTGGGAAGAAAGAATTGTTTTCTGAACTGGATGAATCAGTCCGGTCTAAAGTGACATTTGGCAATAAGTCAAAAGTGCCAATTTTGGGAAAAGGTAAAATCTCTATTCAGTTGAAGGATGGTACTCACAATTTTATATCCGATGTGTTCTATGTTCCTGAACTACACCAAAATTTGTTGAGTATGGGACAGTTGTCAGAAAAAGGATATAAGATAGATATTGCTCAGGGGTGTTGCACCATTGCAGATGCTAAAGGAGTTTTGATTGCAAAGGTAGATATGTCTCAAAATCGACTATTTCCTTTGAAAATTAAGCATACTCTCCTTGCTTGCTTTAATTCTGAAGTTTGTGATAATAATTGGTTATGGCATATGCGATTTGGGCATTTCCATTTCTCTGGATTACACTATCTTGTGAGAAAGGAACTTGTTTCTGACTTACCTGTTGTGAATGTCCCTGATCGTATATGTGAGATTTGTGTGATTGGGAAGAAGCATAGAGATCCCTTTCCCGTGGGCAAGTCAAGGAGAGCCACAAAACAGTTGGTGATTATTCACTCAGACCTGTGTTCGTTGGAGGTTCCCTCACATGGAGGTTGTAAGTACTT